CAAGCGCCCGCAGCCCCCCCAGACCCCCCTGGAGCCGAGCGCCCGCAGCCCCACCGGCCCCCCAGCCCCGGAGCCGAGTGCCCGCAGCCCCCTCAGACTCCCCCAGAGCCGAGCGCCCGCAGCCCCTGAGGCTCTGCTCCCCGCAGCGTGTCCCTGGTGGAGCCGGGCCCGGTGAACACGGACTTCGAGCTGAAGCTGATGGAGGACGTGTCCCGCTCCGAGTTCCCCGGAACCGACCCAGCCACGCTGCGCTATTTCCAGGAGGTGTATCTGCCGGCCTCCCGCGAGATCTTCTCCACCATGGGCCAGAGTCCCGAGGCCGTGGCCAAGGTGGGTTCCCCTCCCCTAGCCTGCAGCTCCCTCCCCCCGGCAAGCCCCATGGACCTGGGGATCTCCCTGCCCGGGCCTGGCCTCCCGCGGCCGCCCAGGCTCCCTGGCCAGCCCCACGCCCACCTCCAGGCTGGCACGCCCAGCCCCCCCCAATGTCTGGCACACCCAGCCCCAGCCTCCCACTGCTGGGCCTCATCCCACCTAGAGAATCAGCTGACGCACCAAGTGCTGGGGAGGTGGGATCTCCTGGACAGACAGACGGACGTGTCCTGGGGGACAGACAGACGCAGGTCAAGGGGGACGGCTGGAGGGGATGGACGAGGAGGGCAGACAGACAGAAAAGGGGTGTGAGTGGGGAGCAGGCGGATGGGGCAGTGCGTGGGCCTGGGCTGGAAAGGGTTAGCCAGCGGCCTGAGGCTGGTGCCAGCGGTGGGGGCTGGTGAGAGGTGGGTTTGAAGGGGGACGTCCCAATGGGGAGCGAGAGGCCAGATCGCCCTGGGCGGGGGGCATGTGCCGGCCCCTGTGGGGGGTGAAGCCCAGGACCCCTCAATCAAGTCCCCACCGGGGCAGGGAGCTTAGACCCCAGCTTTGGGGCTCCCTCCATTTCCCCAGCCAGCTCCAAACTAAAAAAACCCTCCAGCAGCCTCCTCCCAGCCCCGGCCACGGCTCCTCCCCCAGCCTTTGTCCAGTTCCCCGGGCAAAAGGTGTCACCTGGCCCCAGCCCCCTCCTGGGCTCAGGTATCGTCACCCTGGTATCCCACCACCAACGCCGACAGTCTCAATACAATTCCCCCGCAACATCCCAGGTCAATCCGCCTGGAGCAGGGCGCACTCACCCCGCCGGCGCCTCCTGCTGGTCTTCTCGGGAATTAGCTCATTAGCCGTTGGAGCGCCCTCTGCAGGCCGGTGTCCCTCCCGGACCCGTGCCCTGTTATCTGGGGCGCTGCCCCTTGGCAGTAACCCCTCAGTCCCCCACCCACTATTCCCACCTCACCTCAGTATATGTGACGGAGGGGGCGGATTTGACCTGGGAATGTTGCAGGGGGGTTACATTGGGGATGGGAAGGAAGCTACCTGAGCCAGGAGGGGGGGTGGGAGAAGTGACACCTGCCCCGGAGACGGGACAAAGGAGAGGAGGAGCTGGGGGGAGGGGGAGAGAGCTGCTGGAGGAGTTGTTAGTGTCAGTTTGGGCTGGGTGGTGCAACGCAGGGAACCCCAAGCTGGGGTCTAAGCTCCCTGCGCTCCCCAAGAGGATTTGATTGAGGGGTTCTGGTTGTACCTACACGCTCTGCTTGGGACTGGGTTCCTGTCATCTAATAAACCTTCTGTGTTACTGGCTGGCTGAGAGTCCTGGTGAATCTCAGGAAGAGGGGTGCAGGGCCCTAACTCCCCCACACTCCGTGACCGTATACGGCTACTGCCAGTCATCGTCTAGCCCCTCGCCCTGGGGCAGACGGCAGTATCAGCCACTCATCACTGGCAAGGGGGGGTTGGACCTGCTGCCTTGGCCTAGCCCTGGGCTGCCCTCTGCAACCCCCAGCTCCCCTTGGCCTTCTGCTAGGCCGCAGCCTGGGGCTTTCCAGGCAGGAGCTCCCCAGCTCCTCAGCCTGTCCCCAGCCCTGCTCCACTCAGGTGCCCTGTCTCTAGCCCCCTGCAGCCAGGCCCTGCTCCCTCTGAACGCAGAGAGAGACTGAGTCTTTGCGCCTGGCTCCCAGCCTTTATAGGGCCCCCCCGGGCCCTGATTGGGGCGTGGCCCAGCTGCGGCTGCTTCCCCAATCAGCCCAGTAGCTTTTCCCCTGCCCCAGCCCTCTCCCAGGGCTGTCTTTAAACCCCTCTGGGCAGGAGCGGGGGACCACCCTGCTCCACCGCCCCACTCCCTGCTCCGTCCCGCCGGGCTCAGGGCGGGGACGGCTCGTGGCAGCCGGGGGCAGCTGAGCCGGGCGGGTGGAAGAGTCGGTCGCAGGCTCTGCCGTGGCCTGGCCGGAGGCTCCCGGAGCTCCTACAGCCTGATCGAGCTAGAGAGACACTGGGGAAAGTGAGGCACCGCTGCTGCAAGACCACTTCCAGCCACTGGGGGGCAGGCGAGGGTGGGACATCTGGGGTCTGGGTGGGCAGGGGCGGATGGGGTGAGCGAGCCGTGGGGACGGACGGACGGGATGGACGGACAGGCGGAGTGGGGTGAGCGAGCCGTGGGGACGGACGGACGGGACGGACGGACAGGCGGATGGGGTGAGCGAGCCGTGGGGACGGACGGACGGGACGGACGGACAGGCGGATGGGGTGAGCGAGCTGTGGGGATGGACGGACGGGACGGACGGACAGGCGGACGGGGCGAGCGAGCCGGACGCACGGACGAACGGGGCGCTGACCCCTCTCTCCCGGCAGGCCGTGGTGCAGGTGATCGGCGCGGGTCGCCCCCCCTTCCGCACACTGACCAACCCGCTGTACACGCCGCTGACGGCGCTGAAGTACGCCGACCCCTCGGGGGAGATGTCCGTCCGCACCTACCACAACCTGCTCTTCAACTACGGCGCGCTCTTCCACCTCAGCATGCGGGCCCTGCGCTGCCTGACCTGCCAGTGCTTCCGCCGCAGGGTCGCCCCGGCCTGAGCCCGCCTCCGAAACCAGCCAGGACCCCGTGCAGCGCCAGGGTGGAGAATCGCCCTGAACCCCGTCACGGCAGCTGTTTCACCGGCTGCTTCCCTTTGCCGCTCGCCCCGTGCCCTTTATTTCCAGCTGAAGTTCTCTAGCCTCAACGTCCAGCCGCTCCACCGATGTCTGCTGGACTGGGGAGCCGGTTATTAAATCTCTGCTCCCCACGTAGGTACCTCCGGCCTGCGACCAGGTCCCCCCTGCCCCGTCTCTGCCCGACGTTAAATAGCGCTGAGCACGTGGAGTCTGTCCCTCCAAGGCAGGTTTCTAACCCTAGAATCCTTCTCGGGGCTGTTCTCTGAGCCCTCGAATTGCTCAGCTCCTCCTGGAGTGACAGGCGCCAGAACTGGGCCCAGGATCCCAGCAGCCGTCGCACCAGTGCCAAAGCCAAGGGGAAAATAGCCTCTCGGCTCCTCCCCGACATTCCCCTGGTCACGCCCCCCGGGGATCTCCTTAGCCCGTTTGTCCCCAGCGTCGCACGGGCAGGTCGTGTTCAGCTGATTCTCCACCACGATTTTCAGAGTCCCTGCTCCCGCGATTGAACCCCACAGCCTGTAGGAACGGCCTGCATGCTTTGCTCCTAGACGCAGACGTTTCCAATGAGCTGCATTAAAACACAAGTCGTTTTCTTGCACTTCACAAGCGGTCCGGATCGCTCTGGATCAGTGACCAATCCAGATCACTCTGGGTCAGCGACTAATCCGGATCGCTCTGGATCAGTGACCAGTCCTCCCCCCGTATTTACCACACCTCCATTTTTATGTGTTCTGCAAACTCGATCAGTGATTTTATGCTTTCTTCCAGGTCATTATACAGCTGTTAAATCGCGTAGGGCCAAGAACTGCTCCCTGTGGGACCCCTGGAAACACCCACTGGCTGACGATCCCCCATTTACAGTTGTCTCTGGAGACCTTTCAGTTAGCCAGTCTGTAATCCTGTGCATGTGGGTCATGTTCATTTGATATCAGTCTCGTCTTAATCAAAATGCGGCGCGATAGCAAGTCAAACGCCTGAATATTGGGTCAACACTATGACCTTTATCAGCCAAACTTGTAATCAAATCAAAAAAGGCATCAGGTTAGTTTGACAGGATCTATTTTCCATAAACCCATGTTCATTGAGTCTTTATTAATCCAGCCCCTGATCAGCCGCGCCATAATTTTGCCCAGGATCAGTGTCAAGCTGACATGCCTGTAATTATCCTGATTGTCCCATTGACGCTTGTTAACCATTGGCCCAACGTTCCCTTCCTTTCAGTCTTCTGGAACTTCCCCAGTGCTCCAGGACTTATTGAAAATCAACATTAATGATCCAGCAACCCCCTCGTCCAGCTCTTTGAAACTCTTGGATGCAAGTAATCTTGACCTGATGATTTTTAAATGTCTGATGTTAGTAGCTGGTGTTTAACATCCTCTTGAGTTACTGTTGCAATGGGACGTGGTTTATCATATGATATGACTAGATCATCTGGCCTTTTTCCAACTATAGAACAGAAATATTTAGTGAACACTTCTGCCTTTTCTACATTATTATTGACAGTTTACTCCTGGTGGAATTCTGCACCAAGAAAATTAAAAATTCTGCACACAGTATTTTAAAATTCTGCAAAATTCTGCGTATTTTATTTGTCAAAATAACACATTATAATCACACCAGTTTCAATTATTTTTGGTCATTTATTTCAAAATACCTGCCAGCAAGTATGGCTGTAACAATACAGACAACAAAACAAGATTCAGGAAATGTTTTTTGACAAATAGATTCCTTACTACGCGTATTAATACAGAACTCTGAGTAATCATTCATTGAAACTACCATATGGAACCGTATTTCCCGCCCCCCTCAGAAGCAGGGCAAAGGCTTGGGGGAGTCAGGGGTAACGGGGGAGCTGAGGGAGAGGGAAGGAGCCTGTGTGTGAACTTGCAGGGCTGTGGGTGGGAAAAGTCTGGAATGGGTTTTTTGAGGGGCGGGGAGATTGTTAGGGAGCTTCCCGCATGCAGACCCTGGATGACCCCAGTCTCTCCCATTCAGTCAGGCACAGCTGCCCCTGTCCCCATTTGTCTCTGTGCCCTCCCCCAGCCGCCCCCTTGTCCCTATGCAGCTCTGCCCCCCTCCCCCAGTGGCCCTGCGCCTCCATTCCCATTCAGCCCCTGCCCCCGTCTGTCCTCCCCCACTAGCCCTTATGAGCCCCTGTCTGACCCCCCCCAGACCCCACGCTCTGTCTCCCCAGAGCCCCTGTCCCGCTGGCTGGCTGGGAGCGGCTGCTGTGTTCTAGTGCCACAGCGCCCTCTCCTGGGCCAAGGGCGGAACTGCAGACGTTATTTTCTGCCGGGAGCGGCTGCTGTTCTTGCAGCACTGCGCCCTCTCGTGGGCAGAAGGCGGAACTGCGGCCACATTTGGCAGAAGCTTTTTTCTGTGCAAAAAAATAGAACTCTGTGGGGCTAATTAATTATGCGCATGTGCAGTAGCACAGAATTCCCCCAGGAGTAAATTCTACTATTTCCATCGAGGAGCATCAGACCGGCCAGACTGGGTCAGACCAAAGGTCCATCTAGCCCAGTGTCCTGTCTGCCGAAAGTGGCCAATGCCAGGTGCCCCAGAGGGAGTGAACAGAACAGGGAATCATCAAGTGACCCATCCCCTGTCGCCCATTCCCAGCTGCTGGCAAACAGAGGTAGGGACACCATCCCTGCCCATCCTGGCTAGTAGCCATTGATGGACCTATTCTCCATGAACTTATCTAGTTCTTTTTTTAACCCTATTATAGTCTTGGCCTTCACAACCTCCTCTGGCAAGGAGTTCCACAGGTTGACTGTGCATTGTGTGAAGAAATACTTCCTTTTATTTGTTTTAAGCCTGCTGCCTGTTAATTTCATTCGGTGACCCCTAGTCCTGGTATTATGAGAAGGGGTAAATAACACTTCCTTATTTACTTTCTCCAAACCAGTTATGATTTTATAGACTTCAATCATATCCCCCCTTACACGTCTCTTTTCCAAGCTGAAAAGTCCCAGGCTTATTAATCTCTCCTCTTACGGCAGCCGTTCTATACCCCTAATCATTTTTATTGTCCTTTTCTGAACCTTTTCCAATTCCAATATTGCTTTTTTGAGATGGGGCGACCACATCTGCATGCAGTATTCAAGATGTGGGCGTACCATGGATTTATATAAAGGCAATATGATATTTTCTGTCCTATTATCTCTCCCTTTCTTAGTGATTCCCAACATTCTGTTCGCTTTTTTGACTGCGCTGCACATTGAGTGGATGTTTTCAGAGAACTCTCCACAGTGACTCCAAGATCCCTTTCTTGAGTGGTAACAGCTAATTTAGATCCGATCGTTTAATATGTAGAGTTGGGATGATGTTTTCCAATGTGCATTACTTTGCATTTATCCACATTGAATTTCATCTGCCATTTTGTTGCCCAGTCACCCAGTTTTGAGAGATCCTTTTGTAGCTCTTTGCAGTCTGCCTGGGACTTAACTAGCTTGAGCAATTTTGTATCATCTGCAAATTTTGCCACCTCATTGTTTACCCCTTTTTCCAGATAATTTATGATTATATTGAATAGAACTGGGCCCAGAACAGATCTCTGGGGGACACCACTATTTATCTCTCTCCATTCTGAAAACTGACCATTTATTCCTATCCTTTGTTTCCTATCTTTTAACCAGTTACCAATCCATGAGAGAACCTTCCCTCTTATCCCATGACAGCTTACTTTGCTTAAGAGCCTTTGAGGGACCTTGTCAAAGGCTTTCTAAAACTCTAAGTACACGATATCCACTGGATCCCCCTTGTCCACATGCTTGTTGACTCCCTCAAAAAATTCTAGTAGATTGGTGAGGCATGATTTCCCTTTACAAAAACCATGTTGACTCTTCCCCAGCAAATTACGTTCATCTATGTATCTGACAATTTTGTTCTTTACTATAGTTTCAACCAATTTTCCTGGGACTGAAGTCAGGCTTACTGGCCTGTAATTGCCAGGGTCTCCTCTGGAGCCCTTTTTAAAAATTGGCGTCACTAGTGAAGGCAGGGGGCTGGACTTGATGACCTTTCAAGGTCCCTTCCAGTTCTAGGAGATGGGATATCTCCATTAATTATTATTATTATTAGCTATCCTCCAGTCATTTGGTACAGAAGCTGATTTAAGTGATAGGTTACAGACTATGGTTTAGTATTTCTGTAATTTCACATTTGAGTTCCTTCAGAACTCTTGGGTGAATACTGTCTGGTCCCGGTGACTTATTACTGTTCAGTTTATCAATTTGTTCCAAAACCTCCTCTAATGACACCTCAATCATTAGACCAATACTACTGTTAGGATTAATTTTGTTCTTAATATACTTAAAATACTCATTATTGTCCTTAACTCTGCTGGCCATAGATTTCTCCTTCTGTCCTTTTGCTTCCTTTATCAATTTCCTACACGTCTAGCTTCTAATTTATATTCATTACTATCAACTTCCCCTTACTTCTGTTTGTTATATATGATTTTTAATAGCCACTTTCACATCCCCTCTAAGCCAGGTTGGTTTTTTTAACCAGTGTGGCCTGCTTTCTTAACTGGATTTTTGGGCATCTACTAAAATGTTCTTGAGAAGTTCCCAATTTTTCCATTTCAATTCTTTCTCCCAGTGAATTTGGTTCAGAATTGTTTTTCCAGCTCAGTGGGACTGGCCCTTGCCAAGCACTGAGTCGATATACTTTGCTTTGGACTTTATTCTGTTTGCATGTAACCAATGCACTCATTTAATCCTGCTGGCTCCTCCACTAGCCCTCATCCAGCCAGAACAGGAACCAAAGGCCAGAGCCTCGGCGGCTGCTAATCACCCCATCTCCATCAGGGGCAACACCCTCTGTGGCCCTGGCCCTTGTGCAGAAGTTCAACGAACAAGGAAAATCATGACTCTTCAGGGGCCGCGTGGTGAGTGCGGATCCCAAGGACGCAGCCTCTGCTGGGACGAGGGGCGGAAGCCCCTGGGCCGAACCACGGCTGGCACAAAGGGGTGCAGCTCCGTCAATGCAGCTGCGCCAGTTTCCGCCAGCTGGGAGTCTGCCCGGCTCTGCCGGCTAGGGCTGGGGCTGGAAACAGCTCCGCTCAGCGAGGGCGGCAGCTCCCCACCGCGATGGACGGGTACTTTGCTTGTAGCCTCTTTGCCTGTTTGCTGGCTAGCTAATAAAGCCCAAACCCCTCGAGTTGAGCGTGATTCTGCCCTGTGACCTGGGGTGATGGGGCCAGCCGGGGAATGGCGAGGCACCAGGGACAGGTGCTGCCCCCGCTCCAGCGCCCAAAGGACCTGGGAGGTGGTTGCTCTGGGAACGTTGCAGGGACACCCGGCGACAAAGCAGCTTCCAGCCCCAGTCTGGCCCCGCCAGGCCCCGGAGCTCCTGGAACCGCGGTCCCTGCCTCGCGAGCCAGTTGGGAAGTGAGTCTGGGCCAGGTTCGGGTCTTACCCGCAGCGGGTTCCTCTCCTTAGTCACAGGGGTGGGGTCGTTGAGCCCTGGCGGGCAGGTGGGGCGGGTGATTATGTGGTGTCACGGACTCACAGATCATGCCCACTCTTGGCCCCGTGCAGTCCCTGGGGGGGAGCCCCCTTCAGTGAGACAGCCCTTCTCGGGATCCACTCTCTCCCGGGGTCAGGCCCCTCCACCTCCTGGAGCCGCACCTCTCTGAGCCTTAGCACGTCTGTCTCTGCCGTGGGCCCCCTCGGTTTATTGAGCGTCTGGATCCAGCACAGGAAACTCTCAGGGCCTGGCCTCCCTCACCCCAGCACATCCCGGTCTCCCCCGCGTCCAGGTGGGCTCTGCCTGCTCCCCCTCTCCAGCCCAGAGCCTCCCTGCTCCCAGCCGGGCATCGGATACCTCCAGCCCCAAGCTCTGCCTCTGTCCATTGTCTTCTCTCCAGGGAAACAGGGTCGCCTGGGCCTCATTTCCTCTCTTCTGTCCTCTGGTCCCTCTGGCTGGAACCGGCTGGTCCGGTCACTGGGGTCCTCTCCCCGCAGTCCATTGTCCTCCCACTGGCCAGAACCGGCTGTGACTCCTGGGCTGGGTCCTCGGGTGGTCAGGTCCCCAGTCGCTGGGGTCTCCATCCTCCCGGCCATCGGCTGGGGTCCCAAGTTCCCTCTCTGGTCCTCTGTAACAACAAACTCCCTCTCCCCTCCCCTCGTTAAACCAGTAACACCCAGGGACACTGAATCCCACCCCCTCTGCATGCAAACCATTGGAAAACAAGGAAAAACCAAGAACCCCCCCACTTCATCACACCGGGAACACCCCGAAGCTTTCAAAACCCAGGCACCGGCCCAGGAAACCCAAGAGCTTTTTACCAATAACCACCCAGGTTGTGCTGCTTGGCCCCGCAGCGTCGGCACCTGGCAGGGCCCCGTTTTCAGCTTCTCGCTGCAGCCCCAAGGGCTTGGATCTTGCTCCCTCATTGTCTGTGCTCCGAGGCGGCGATTGTGCCCCCGTCACGGGACTCCAGGCGCTGGGGCGTTGGGAGAGCACCTGCTCTCACGAGGTGGGGACACAGCCGGCCTCCCCCGGAGAGCAGAGAGGGGCCGTGTGCTGGGCAGAGCCCCCCGCAGTCACCCCAACAGGGGGTGTCCCTCACCCGGCTCCATCCCCCCACCCGGTGCTGGTGGAGCAGCCCGGAAGCAGCACCAGGGCATGGCACCGGCCCAGGCACCGTGGGTCTGGCAGCAGCCCAGGGAGCCCAACCCAGGCCGGCACTTACGGGAAACCTCTGGCCTTCCTGACAGTCCGTCCCCCAGGATTGCCCAACAGGGCAGCCCTGTTTACTCAGCCAGATAAAGAGGCCGTGCCCAGCGCTGCCCTCCACTCCAGCCCCCCAGCTCGCAGCATGGGGACCCCGGCTCTGAGCCTTCTCAGTGCGCTGCTGCTGTTGCTGGGCCCACGCCTGGGCCAGGCTGGGCCCATGTGAGTGTCGGGGCTGGGGCGCATGGGGCAGGCCGGGGCTGGGGCGCATGGAGCAGGCCGGGGCTGGGGCGCGTGGGGCAGGCCGGGGCTGGGGCGCGTGGGGCAGGCCGGGGCTGGGCCCATGTGAGTGTCGGGGCTGGGGCGCATGGGGCAGGCTCGGGGCTGGGGCGCGTGGGGCAGGCCGGGGCTGGGCGCATGGGGCAGGCCGGGGCTGGGGCAGGGAAGAGACAGAACGGGGGAGGCTCCAGGCTGCCAGACCTACTGCCCAGCCACTGGTGGCCCAGGGGTGAGACCCACGGGCTGGTCCTGGGGCGTCTGAGCGGGGGCCCAGCTCCCGCCCCCCCCCCCCGAGCCGGTTTCTGGGGTCCTGCTGCCTCTCGAGCCAGCCTGGGAGAACGGGTGGGGGTTCGGTGCCCCTCCCCCAGCAGAGTACCTGGCCGCCCCCAAACCCACCCCAAGGCTACGTCTCCCCTGGCAGCGCAGCTACCCAGGTGCCGGGGGGGGAACCAGCTACCACAGATGGGGGCGGTGGGGCAGCAAGTTTCCCTTCAGTGTGCGCCCCATGCCAGTGATGGGGGGGCAGGGTTCCCAGGGAGCGACAGAGGTCGGGCAGGGCCAGTCCAGGCAGGGGAGGGCTGGACAAGGCTGGGCTGGGCTGTTATCCCCATTGTAGATGTGAACTGAGGCAAGGAGAGGCCAAGAGACTCGGCCCAGGCCCCGCAGACCGGCTGTGGCAGAGCCTTGCACAGAAGCCAGGTCTCCTGTTTGCCAGCCTGGTGCCCTCCTGTTGTACTTAAAGTCCTGCCCAGGATCTTTTCAGGGGGAATAAGGCAGAATGCCACATTTATTAGTAATACATGTATTCATTAACACTGTATTATATGCATATAATATATTACACTTACACTCACACACACAAACACACTCCGTC